ACGATCTCTCAATTTTAACTGAAGACGGCTGGTCTTAATGGTAGCTGCTTTGAAAGCTCCCAATGTGTGGTAATAATTATATAAGATAGAGTATTAATTTGTAATAGTTCGGAGCTTTTTACAATTGAACTATTAAAATAATTGGAAATATTGCATTTGCTTAATCTTCTGCAATGATTCCGGCTGGAAGAGCGTGGCGGCCTGATGGTCACGGTGCCCTACACATCCTAGAGGTGTGTAAATGGGTGGAAGCGGATTTAAAACGGGGAGAAACCATGTGATGGACTAGCATCCCATCCAGGGGGAAGGGAGAGTACTAATATTTCGTCGCTTAGGCTGTATGGGTTACTGGCCTGACGCCAGTAACCCAGACTTTTTTTTACTTCTAATACGTGCATCTCCATGAACAGCACCGGTAAGTGTTTTTTTTTTTTTTGGTAATTGCTTGACAAAAAGGCGTGGGTTATCAGCATAACAGTACGCTTTCCAATGCTAAATTGTAGCCATAGGCGACATAACGCTACCGCTTCTCGCTTGTTTACAGGCCAGGGGATAGATCGGTGTAGTCTCGTGTCTCTCTTCGCCAACTTCGGGCCAACTCAAAAGTGCGCGTGAATTTTTTCTCCACCAACGAAATCGCCTTGCAAGAGGCTCTCGAACCAGAACCGAAACTGATTTCGCGGCCATGCCCACGCACGTCTCGCCTGCCTCATATCTTTTAAAGTAATTTCAAGTAAAACCACCTGTTTTCGCTTCGACCGTTTAAGGTTTTGTAACATTAACAGCTTGTGAAACGTGACGTTTCTGTTTGCGACTCACGAATAAAGAAATAAAAAGCAATGGCCACGAAAGCTATTACTTTTCTTCCTGAAGCGAGCATGTTTTTAGAATTTCCCACTGCTTCGATTTCATGACGTTGATAATGCAGCGGCCGCGAGTGTTGTCAGACGCACTTGAATTATTTGAACCAGTATAAACGCTGGACGAATGTACCAAGGTTAAAGTTACTTGCCCTTAGTAACTATTTTACCTCGGTAAAAGCTCAAAATGTAAAGACAACATTTATCGCGATATTTCTTAAACGGCAGACGCGCGCCAGGCCATCAATTAATCGATTTTAAAATTGAGTCTTACTAGTCATATCAGTGATCTATGCTCTAAGGCCACTCAAAAAGTAGGGGTCCTAATGTGGCTACGCAATTTGATACCCTGTAATGCTAAACTATCATTTTACAGGTATTCAATAGCGCTTTATACTATTACTAAAAATAGATTTTGTTACGTGATAACCTATGAGACCCCCCGCACAGACTCAGACAAACATTGCGACCAGCTTAAGGAAATGTATGAGCGAGAGCTGTAAAATTAAAACAAAACGACGGAAAATTTCGTCAAAAAATGACTTGGCGTTCTAAAAGGAAGCGGCATGGTTGGTACCAAACACTGTTGTTGGGGTGAGTGTAAGACAGACTCAAGATATGCAGATAAATGGCCAAAATCACTCAAAGAGTGAAAGGAATTAGGGAAGAAAGTATTCATTCCTTTCCCAAAACCTTCGCGAGACATGGCAAAGTGCAAGCGTTGGCT